CTCTAGCAAGTGATCCCAGCTGCTTGGCTTCTGTACCTTCTAGTTCGTGACCATCGGCCCCATTGTCCCAGCATCGGAGTAACCAGGTGATGATGTGCTCCCCTGGTTGATGGGTAAAATCTTTGTGCATATTCCATAGCTCAGTTGAGGTCCGAGGTCGAGAAGTTACCTCTTCTTCATCATGTGATGATGACTCCTGATCAAGTGCTAGACCGGGTGGTGAATTCATTGTTTCTTCATCTTGCTTCACCGTTCTTGCCTCTTTTTTGCTTGTTCTCTTGCATACAGGGACAAGTGATATTGGTACGAATTGGTCCTCTGGTTTGGCTGCAGTGATTATCACTGTGGTTTGAGTAGCGACTGTACTTGTTGCTGGGGGTGGTGTAGCTGCTGTGCTTGGAGCTGGGGTAACCACGCTGTCTGTTGCAGTCAAAGTTTGAGCAGTTGCTGTACTTGCCACTGGGGTAGCTGAGCTGTTCATTGCAGCCAAAGTTTGAGTAGCGACTGTACTTGTCGCTGGGGGTGGTGAAGCTGCTGTGCCTGGAGCTGGAGTAGCTGTGCTGCCTGTTGCTTTGCTCTCAGATCCACCGACATTCTTTTCCTTTTGAAGGTGCTGGATAGTCTTGAACAAGGCCCTGTAAGCATAGGCCAAGCCCCAGCACGTTGCCATGATTTGTCCCTCTCTGCTATGACCAGAATGACAACACACCTCATTTAAGTGTTTTACTAATCTTCTGGATTTTGCAGTTTTTTTGCAAACACTGTGTTTGCAGTAGTGAAATTCCAAAGTACTGGAGGGGCCCACTGACCTAGATACTTGCCCATACTATCCCACACACCCTGCCACTCATGACTGTCCAGCCTCAGGGAAAATCTCTTGGTCCTCCTACATTGTCGTTTGACCCCAGACAAGACCCAAACCTGACTCTGCTTAACTCTTGAAATCAGTCGTGGGCAAAACACACTCTGTATGCATGCTAGCATGGTGATTCCCATCACAATCAGCAAACAAGTCTCAACAGCATTAAAAGGCCATCCAAAAACTTCAAAACTCTCAAATGTAAATGGTCTGGGGGGAGGACTGGGAGGGTAAAAGGATGTCTCCTTCACAGGCTGAGCACCTGAGAAGGAGAAAAAAGATGTGTAATTGCTAAGCACTTCTATTATATACCTCCCAAAGTATAAAGGTGGTGACCACACTGGGAACATAAGCCAGATCAGTTTCATGATCAATGATTCTATTGTATTACAAGTCATTACCATAAAGTACAATGAGACAAAAACCTTAGCCCAAGCCCCACACTTGAAAAACACTAATACAGCAAGTACCAGATGGAAGTAAGATACGACATACTGAAACTGTGAGATCAAGAGGAACAACCCTGAGAGCCAATAAATCAGCATTGTGACAACTGACTATTAATCCGGTCAGATCTGTCGGTATCTCAACCCCTCGTGCCCCATGTTGGGTGCCAGAAAGAACTGTCGTGGTTTAAACCCTAGCCAGACAGCTTGTTCACTCACTCCCAGTGAGTGGTGCCGGGCTGAGAGCTATCGAGGCTGCTCCCCCACCCCCCCACCCCCCACCCCCCCCCCCCCCCCCCCCCACCCCCCTGGGGCTCTCCCCTTCCCTGTTCCCAGAGGGATGGGGAGGAGGATCAAAAGAGTGCAACTCCCACGGGTTGAGACAAGAACAGTCCAGCAACCAATGTACAACACAAAGCACCACCGCTACCGCTACTACCAATGACAACAATGATAAGAGAAAATAACAAGGGAAGAGAATACAATACCACCGGCCAAGAAGTGAGTCCCACCCGGAAGCCCGTGTCCTTCTGGGTAACTCCCAGTTACCCCCCACCATGGGCATGACGTGCTGTGGTATGGAATACTTCTTTGGCTAGCCTGGGTCAGGCGCCCCGTCTCTGCTTCCTCACGGCTTCCCCTCCTCCGTGGCAGAGCATGAGACTCAGAAAGTCCTTGGTCAGGGTAAACATCACTTAGCAACAACCGAAAACATCGGTATCACCAGCACTGTTACCAGGCTAGAAGTCAAAACACAGCACTGCACCAGCTACCACGAAGGAGAAACATGACTGCTAACTGCTACTGCTGAACCCAGGACAGCATGGCATTCCTTTTGGCACAAAAGTACCAAAATACCTGTAAAGCTGAAAGTTAAGCATTGTGGCTTTTTTAAAGACAATAATTTTAACACTAAAAGCATAGAACCTTTTAAAACTGATACATTGGCTTTGTCAAAACAAAAACTTCAGCTAGGTGAAGTTCAGAGTCATCAAATACTGAGATTGTTCTGAAGTAGTAAAAAACTGGAGCCAAGGCCTTACACGGTGGTATTTCTGAATTAATGTAGCTATTTTGAAATGCAAGAACTTTGTTGATAATAATTATCTAGATTCAGGCAGTTGTATTTGAATAGTGATCCAGTTGGCTTACCATTGTTATCAACCCAGACACATTTTGCTTCTTTCCCTTTTTCCTGAAATAGGGTCGCATGACCATTTTGTGCACTTTGTTGCTTTGTGCATTTTTAAGATAGCCAAACCCTTTTCTGAAGATTTCTTCCAGTTTAGCAGCTTTCAACTACTGAATTGTCTGCAGGGTACTACATGCAGGTTAATTGCAATTACCCACATCTTGGTCACACAACCACAGAGATGCTGATTGGAAGAGGCTCCTGGAGTCCAGCCTCCTCCTCAGAGAATGACTATTGCAGCAGGTCACCCACGGCTTTGCCACACCACTCTTCAAAAACCTGCAAGAATGGAGATCCAGCAACCAGGGTTACTTTCCTCTTTCAGTCTTCTGCATACATTTGTTCTTTGGTTGTGAACATACTGATCTTCAACCCACCACACTTCTAAGAAAATGCTGTCTGCTGTAGGCATGACAAGGACACAGCAACATGCCTCTCAGTTGTACTGTTTCATAAACTGATGGAGCTCTGTCTTCCCCTTCATGCCCATCTTACTTTGTGGAAGACCATTTCTCCATCTGTCCACAGCCAGTGAAATTACAGACTGCCAATGTAATGAGCCCCTAGCAGTCATCAGTTCTCCAACAGAGTAAGTCTTTAATGCCAGTTGATACTTAAACCTTAACAAACAAAGCCTCAGCATCACACCCCAAACCCCTTTCATTTCTCCTACTACAATTCCCATTCCCTTTAGGAGAGTCACTAAGGTTTCTGACTAATGCTAATCACATGTGCCTTGCTAACAATGGCTTTAAGTGGAAAGGGAATCAGGTGGCTCTGAGAGTATTTTTCCACTTTTTTAGTAGGAAAGATTTCCAGATTCCTGGAAACCCACTCCTTTCTGTGCCCTCACTGGGTCCTCATCTCACAGCCAGCCTGTTTTGTACCACTGCTAAGTACATACTATGTTTGGGTGTTTTAGCTCCTAGAAAGGCTGTGTAACTTATATTATCACCTTGGAGTAAGTGGTGGTGTGAAAAAACACCACCCAAAAAGGCAGTACATCTATCAGTTGGGACACAGGCGCCAAGGTGAAAAGCTGCTTGGGATCTGTGGCCTTGCGCAGCATTATCTGCTGTCTCCTCCCTGCGTCTGTAACCACACGGCTTCTCCATGTTCAAACCCACTCCCATCAGTCCCCTGGTAAGGTGGCAGGAAAACACAAATGTCACCATGATGAGAAAACAGTACACATCCAGGTCCCCCTACTGCATAGGGAGAACTTCTTTAACAACAGTGAGGGAAGAACTCATTTACACACCTGAGGTCCCACATTTCCTACCATGTTTCATGAAAACACATGTACTCATCCACCTTCTTCCCTCCAGGTATGAATTACATGGAGAAATTGAGAACAGGCACCGTGTTGTAAAGCACCAGGTACATATCTTTCCCCTAGGGAAACTCCAAATGAGGCAGTAATTCCAAAACAAAGTGACTTCCTATCTCCTCTCCCATCTTGCACAGACAGCATGATGTCCTCACATGGACCTGCTCTGGGCCCCGTTCCTACCAAAGACAAGTCCTACACATCCCACTTCATCTGCTTTTCTTCTGCGCTGTAAGTTAACCTTGACAATGTGACGTCAAAGAACTTTACTGTAAATACAACAATTACAGGATGGTTTGGGTTGGAAGGAACCTTAAAAGATCAGCGAGTTCCAACCCCTGCCACAGGCAGGAACACCTTCACTAGACCAGGTTGATTAAAACCCCCTCCAACCTGGCCACCTGATCAAAGTTAACCTAAACAGGGACCACAGAACAACTGTGTTCTTTGAAAACCCTGCGGTGGGCAAGAATCCACCTCTGGACAACAGTCTGCTGTGAGCTACTGGGTATCAGGCTTCGGAGCGGCTGTACCGGTGACTAGGCAAAGCCTCCTCCTGCCAGGCCTCGCTTCCCCGGGGAAGCACGAGCGCGACATCCCGACGAGGGACCCATAGCAGGGCAGCTCCCCCGCCCAGAGATGGACGCTGTCACGACGGCGCTGCAGCGCTTCGGCGGCATCGCTCACCCCACCCAGGAAGCGCCCTTTGCCCGCGGAGCAGGAAGCCGCTACCGGCGCACGGCCTGGCGGGAGCGAGTGGCTGCAGGTAGGCACGGCGGGGCCAGGCCGGGTCTCCCGACACCCGCTGCGCTGGGGGACGGGGCGGCACCGGGGAGCTGGGATGGGGTGCCCCAGCCCACGCGGGGCTGTGCCGCGCAGCTCCTGGGGGAGGCCAAGCGCACCGGGAGCCGGGCGTGAGGCCAGCGTCCGAGTCTTTGTCTTTGGCCCTGTGCAGGAAAGAGATACTCAAAAGAGAAGCAGAAATGCAGCTCAAAGAAGGGGAGGGCCGGCTAGCCCCTGTCTTGGGGGGCTCTGATGTAGCGGCCACCCTTGTCTGCTCGCTTCCCTTACATGTTATGCAGCTCCCCCTCTCCATCCTCCTGCCCGCGAGCAAACGCCGGTCCCTCCCCATTTTCCACCCAGTGATTCTTATGGTTATTACAGGAAGCTTTACACCCCTGCCACTGCCTTGTTCCCCCAAAACTACACCACACTTGCTCCCCACACACCGTTGGGGGTGCCCCAGCAGTGCAGCCCACGGAGGCCCTCCTCTGTCTGTGCTTCAGCACCCCTGGCTATACTCAGGGCTGAGCAGGCACAGGCAAGCACTGCAGGTTATGAGTACATCTGATGGTACAGGGAAAGGGGCTTTCATCAAACCCAAAAGAAATGCAGCTACATAAGTAACTGTTGTCTGTGATAATACCTTCACCTTTTGCTTTTTACTGCAAGAATTATCTATCCCAGATAATAGCTGGGAAGAGAAAGATCTGAACACCCTGTTCTGGATTGCAGGTTTCTGCTGTCATGCCTGGAGTGAGGATGCCTAGAGTGTGTAGCCACCAAGGGCACTGCAGGAGCATGAGAAGCTGAAAGTATGGAGATCTGCATTAGGATGAGTTCCATAACCTCCACAGCTTGGTACAGCCATGGGAGGAATGTAGAGCTGAGTGGTCACAAGAGAAAATAAGTAGCCAAGGTAAAGAACATAAATTGTAGGAGGCAGCTACAAAATCTAGATAATACTATTGCAGTACTAAAGCCAAGGCTGCGGGAACAGGACAGGGGATTTGCAGTTCCCTTGCTGGAGGCCTAAATCAGACACCCTTCTGATCCTGTTTTAGTAAAGCTATGGACGGTGCCTGCAGGAGTCCCACACACCCGCATACACAGATGTTCTTGCCATCTTGGTTCCCACATTCAAGCAGTAACACAGTATGCCCAGGGATATGCTCCTGCTAGTAAGGTATGGAATCCCTGAAAGAAGAACGTTCCCTTTGTTAATAAGGTTTGTCCCTTCCTTTCACAGGGACATGACTCTGATCATGGGAAAGGACAAAACTTCCTTGCTCCAGACCAGCCTGTTAATTGTATTTGGGGTTATCTGCTTTCTGCTGAGCTGGTGTAGCAAACCTGAGCGTAGCAGCAACCCAAGCCAGGAAATCTTTCCAGGATCACAAAGGAATTATTCTTTCTACCTTGTCTGCTTGCTTAGATGTTTCCTTGGATGGCAGCTGTTGGGCATTTGTTAGATGTTGAAATGCTGAGGGCTTTGGGCTCCCGAAGTTCAGGTTTGCTGACAGCTTTTGGAGGGAAGCGTTGCTCTTTGAGGTCAGCTGCCTGGAGGGAAGGTCTGTGTGTGGACATGCTTTTGACTCCTCCAGCTTTGGAGTGGGGCTGTCTTGGTATATATCACATAAGACAGCTTGGTCTGGCTTGTAGTGCCAGACTTGCAGCAAGGAGCCTCGAGAGTGGCAAAGTCCCAAGAGCTGTAGGGCTGCAGAAAGCAACCTCCCTTCATATATTGGCTTGGAACTGCTGGAAATGATCCATCTGCAGGGGTGGTCCACTTCAGCATTCAGCAGATGTTTACAGTCGGGACTTACTTAGATTGTTAACTTTTAGTAAGGTTTTAAGAAGGCCTTTCTTCTTTTGCTAAGGCTTCATTTTTGTGTGTCTGATTTACTATTTTTTTTTCATTATGGTTCTGCAGTTCAAGATTGCAGTGTTTTTCTTCTCCTTGCTCCCCTTCTTTCTGTCCAGCTTTGCCACATAGAATAAAAGACTTCAAGAGTGGTGTTTTTGTAATTGTAGGCATCCAAGGTCTCAAACTGTTCCCTTCATCTGAGTTCTCTCCTTGATTCTGGCACTACCTAATCCCTTATCACCCACTACCTATTGTAAAGTAGCTGTTGGTGAAGGATGGAATGGTCCAGGAGCAGGTACCCATTCAGTCTGCAGTGTTGGTTTGCACCAGTGGCCATCTGTCCAGTTAGTCCATCCTGTCTGGAGCTCAACTAGCTGTCCAGAGATATCAGTTGTCCAGAGAGATTGGTAGCTTGAAGCAGTGTTCAGGGGGTGTACTTTTGAAGTGATGCAAACTAGTAAGAACCTATAAAGATTGAAAGGGGTGGGGGAAAGCAATGTCTTTAATGCTTTGAAAATATTCCCATAAGTGATTTCAGCTTTAGCCATGATGCCATCAGCCTCTGGTCCTAGATACACCCACATGGTATCCTTTCCCTGCCATCTTTGATTCCTGCTTCTTAATATAAAGTGACTGTTTTCTCTGTTCTTCTGCATTGTTTTTTTCCTGCAGCAACTGCTAATGCCTGTCCTCTTGATACTAACTGCTGTTGCTTACTGTTTGTTTGGCTTTGGCCTTAAAATAGGAAATCCCGAAGGAAAAGTTCTCATCTTTGGTGCTGACAGTGTTTGTAAGAGCACCCTGCCCAACAGCTGCAACCATGACGGTTGCTGGAGCTCAGTAGGGATGCCAGGCTGGGAACCAACAGAATCCAGCTAGAGTAGACAAGAAATCATATTGCCATCATGTTTTGTTGGGTTTTGCTGCCTCAGCCTGAGAGTCTTGAAAGAGAAGAAACAGATGAGATAGCAAGTAAGAAAATCAGGTTCTGGTGACTAAAGAAATTTAAAAATTTCCATTTAAAATAATCTTAGGAGAGTAATGAGTCTTTTGGCTGTCATTAAAGAACTGTAAGTGTGGCTTGGCTGGGTTTTGCTCATTGCTTACATTGGTATCTAGCATTGCAGTCAACCAATTCTGAGTCCAGCACGTCTGGTCTATGTCCTAATGCTTATGATAAGAGGAAACCTTGAGTCTCCTCTAAGGCAAGCCTCTAACTCCAGGTACCTCAGTAGTGTACAGAATGTCCATAAACGTTGTTGCTCAGTTGACTTCATTCTTTCAGGCAACCACTCTGCTTGCCCTCCATAATCAGCAGGGGCAGTACATTTTAAGACACATGAAAAGCTCTTGCTGAATATTCAACTAAGATTACTTTTGTTTGCTTTTGTAAGGATTCGTGGTTGCTGAGCCTGATGTAACTGCACAGATGGACCAAGAAGAAGAACAAGATCCTGAGGCCTCAGAGGAGACACACATGGGTGAGGAATAAGTTAGATCAGATTATAAAGACAGAGCAAGCAAAATGCTTTCTGAATTACTTCAGCAGCCATTTTATTTCATGCAGCTCATATTAAGACCTCTTTTCCCCTCAGGGCAGGCAGACAGCCTTTGACAGCCTGCTGTTAAGAGTATGTATAGGAAGACGGAGTATTAGGAAGACAAGATGTGAAGATTTCTTGGGGGCAAGGAGACACCTGTAGCATAGCCTTTGGCTCTACTGTTTGTGGCACGTCAGTCTTCCTTTTACTGCTCCTCCTACATAGTGCAGATGAGGCTTCCTAGGGTAACAGCTTGCCCGTTCTCTGCTGTGCCACTCCCCACCAAGAATCACAGTTACAGTTATACTTTTCTTCCAGATGATGAGCTAGGTCCCCTTCCAGATCACCTTGCAAGCACAGATCTGCAGGATGTGTTGGCAGTGGGATCCAGGGGAGGAGAGGAACAGTTGGGAAACAGCCATGGAAGTCGGCATGATTCCGCAGGAGCTCAGCAAGGTGACTGTGAGGAAGAAGGGGTGACTAAGCTGCCTTCTTCTAATATCAGCCTGGTAAAAGAATGGGACAGAAGGACATCAGCAGCCTCACAGGGCACTCCTTGTGCAGGGCTACCCACCGTCCGCTCTGAGTGCGGCAAGGGCTTCAGTCGGAGCATCCATCTCATCCAGCACCAGCGAATGCACACTGGGGAGCGCCCCTTCCTGTGCGGAGAGTGTGGCAAGGGCTTCAGCCAGAGCTCCCATCTCATCCAGCACCAGCGGGTCCACACGGGCCAGAAACCCTACACCTGTGCTGAGTGTGGGAAGAGCTTCAGCCAGAGCTCTAACCTCCTTAAGCACCAGCGCATCCACACCGGGCTCAAGCCTTACATGTGCAGCGAGTGTGGCAAGATCTTCAGTGACAGCTCCACCTGCATCAAGCACCAGCGCATGCACACAGGTGAGCGGCCCTACAAGTGCCCAGCCTGTGGGAAAAGCTTCAGCCAACACTCCCATCTCCTTCAGCACCAGCGAACCCATGATGGCATTCGGCCTTACGCCTGTGGGCAGTGTGGCAAACATTTTGGGCAGAGCTCTGACCTCATTAACCACACTCGTACCCACACTGGTGAGAAGCCTTACAAATGCAGCCAGTGTGGCCGGGGCTTCAGTGGCAACTCCAACCTCATCAAGCATACCCGTATCCACACTGGGGAGCAGCCGTACCACTGCACCCAGTGTGGGGAGAGCTTTCGTTTCCAGCCCCAGCTGGTGCGCCACCAGAAGCACCACACGGACTAGCTGGTGGAGTGGAGAAAGCTTTGTGGACCACAGGCAGCTACCTGGTGTTGGGAAGATGCACAGCTGCTCCCTGGACACCTCATATGGGACATGAGTTTTGTGGAAGGGAGCCGTCAGAGCCTTGTCCCCTTGTGTTCTGGGTAGCTCTGAGCACTGTCCAGGCACTTCAGCAGAGGGAGGCTGCTGCAAAACAAGCTGTGTTCACTGTGATGCAGAGGTTATTCTGAGCCCCTCTCTTGGGGATAGGGAGAGGAAAGGTGCTTATATTTTACGGTATATTCAAGGCCAGAGAAGAGACCATAGGACTGGTGTCTTTCTCTGTTATTTCTAGCAGGGAATGGTTTTTACCCCAGTAAAAAAGAGCTAAAATCTGTACCTGTTTGCTGTACAAGCTGCCTGGGTTTTACCACATGGTAAGGCCACAGCCTGGGATGATCACTCCCTTTAGAATCCGCATTTCTCACTTGTCAGTGGTCTTGGGTTTGGGTGACATTAGTACCTATTTATTTTAAAGTCCCACAAGACTGCTGCGTGCCTCAGCATACATGTGCTTTCTTGGGATGTCATCTATGGAGCAGTATTTTTGCTGAGTTGTATAGTTGTTACATTGACAGTTCCACAAATGACAGCTTACTCCTCAGTATTAATTAAGTAAATTAACATCCTTACGGGTATTTCTCTCAGATTCTTGTTTAGGTACTTTTGTGGGTGGCACTTTATGAATGCTTTTTATAAGGCTCCTAAAAGTATTTAGGATTACTTTTTTGATTGTGGTGGTCTAATTGTCAGTTGATGAGCAGAAGAAGGATGACATTTGAAAAATAAGCTACGTCAAACTTTGATTTTATATTAAATGTTAAACATTTTTTCTTGCATAGAACTTTTTAACTCAAATGCCATGGTTTTGTGTTGTTACTGATTATGAGGAGGTAATTATGACACTGATTTCTAGAATTCAGGTGATATTTTTGCTAGTGGTTTTGACATTTTCAAATAATGACTTTCTAAGAAATCTAGGAAAGGCAGGATTCTGAGAAAGCAGAAGGAACTGACCTCTGAAGAGATCTTCACTTGGAGAATACTACTACTGGGAGTCTGTCCTTTAAAGAAATCCTCTCAGGCAACCGGTTGGTATGGGGGAGGAGAGGGCTGGCAGTAATAACAAAGATGTTAATATATCTAGCATGGAAGAACTCCGTGTAATGAACGTGGCAGTGTACGCTGAAATGCCTGTTCCACCCACAGAGCCAAACAGAAGAACTTATAGTATGCTTTAGGCAAGAAAATGAAGTGATCAAATCTGTTGTAGAGTTCTTGTTTTTGGCATCCCCGATAGGCCTAATGCTAACCATGAGCTTTCACATGGAGGTGAGCTCCCAGATGGGGGATATCACTAAGGTCAAAGAGACCACCAGCTCAAAGAGCACAAGATTCCTTCAAGCAAGCTGTGAACAGAAGGAATGTGACTGGAATGACCGGCTGAGTAATGTGGATACATCCATATGTCCCTTAGCCACCAGCTGCTGTCACAGAGGGCACAGCTTCATGCTCCATTGGCAGTAGATCTGGTTTGTCATTTGCTCTCACTCTACTCCCACCTTCTCCCCTAGAGCCTGAATTAATATAACTGTGCTAAGTAACTGTTGACACAGCTGTGCTCTAGGTCAGATCTGTAAGATGGTCTACTTTTTTTAAATGGCAGGCTTTGGAGAGTTCATTTTAAGCTGCATTCATCCAATCTAGGCCACAGCCTCACAAGCAGCCCAGTAGACACATAGTTCTTGCAGGTCCTGGTGACCAGCATTGTGCAACTGGTCATCCTTCAGGAGCAATCAGGCTTACTGAATGTGGGCTGTTGCAAATGATTTTACTATAGGATATAATATGCTAATATGTTTTGCAGAGCAGATGATCAGGGACTGAGCACCCAGGTTAAATCCCTGGGGCTTATATTATGCACTAGTGTAGGCATAACCTAAGGGTACCAGTCAGCTGAGTGAGATGGGCAATATTCATACACCATTTCTGTCTTGACATTTCACATGCTGAAGCACACCAGCGTGCCGCCCTTCACTTTGCTCCTGTGCATGAATTTAGTTCTCTCCAGGCAGCTGTTATCCTTTTCTCCTCCAGGCTCTCACTACCAGCTGCTTCGCAAAAAACAGTGTCCTCCCTCATTAGCTTAAACAGTTTGCCCAATATTTTGACCATGGCTTCTTTCTGGTTTTCCCATGAGTCGGTGTCATTGAAGTACTCAAACAGGAAATCGGTTAAGATTGGGCTGCTTCTGAATAGATTTGTCTGCAAGTAAAGTTGTGCCATATCCAGAAGTGGGTGGATCTTTCCAGAAATACTGGGGCACTACCCATTCTCTTCCTTTCAGAGGTCTTTGCAGTAGTACAAAACTCAGCTACTACTCTTCAAACACATTTTGAAATGCATGCTGCACATGCTTGAGCATTGAACTTTTAGACTTGGAATTATTTGAAATCCTTCAAAACCCCTTGTTTTTGGGGACTCTATAACTCCAGACTCAGTGATCTGATGATGAAAATTGGGACAGTTAGGAATTGTTTCAGCTACAATGCAGCATATTTGCTTAATTAAGAAGCATGTCTCATCAGGATGACAGGCTGTCCATGGAGACCTCCTGATTGTGGAGACCTGATTATTGAGCCTTGTGGCAGTAACTTGCCTTCTGCAACTGTTCATAAGAACCAGCCTAAGTTGCATATCACTGAAACTGGGCAGTGAAATTTTCCACTCAGGCACCAGACTGGTGAACAGAAGGAAGCCTCAGATCTCTCCTGACAAGTGAAGATGAAAATTACTATATATAAATATATATTTCTATTACAAAAAAAAAAAAACACAACAAAACACACCACCACCAACAAACAACATCTCACTCCCCCAGTGCTGCCTGAAACATACCTTGGGTTCCAATTCTGTTACCCACACAAGTTCTGTTGCTGGTTGTCAGGTAAAGCCCTGTTTGTTGTGCGGGACCAGGTGCTCTCCTGGTCTCAGCAACTCAGTTCACCAGAGATAAAGGTTCCAAAGTGTGTCAGTGGGTTCTGGCTGCTGGACTGCACCGGGATGTGAGCGTGCAGTGACTTTTTTATTTGAATACTTTTACTTTCTCAGAAGTCCTGACCATTTGTCTATGCTGATAGTTTTAGCTGAAGGTGCTGGGGCTTCGAGTTCTGAAGAAAAATGTTCCAGGTACCAGGCCTGCATATCTTCTCTGCACACGTTTTGTGATAGCAGCTAAGTCCATGCATAACTATTTGTAGGACCTGCATTTTAGGCAGGTATGCCTCAAACTTTTACTGTGCTGGCTTACCCTTTCAAGTCTAAGATTGCCAAAAACTTGAAAAAGAAATGCAGGAAGAGCTTACATACCTAAGGTAGCCTCCATTTTAGCAACCTCACCCTTCTTGCAGAATCTTACTGACCTGAAGATGAGAGAGGGGTTCCAGTTCTCCTTATTGGTAACACTGGGAAGAATGCTGCTCCCCACAGCCAGCAGCTCCAAGCTGCGCTGGGCTATGCCCTTCCCAACAGAGTGCAATCCCACAGTGTCGTCAGACTCGGGGCAGTTCTCCTTTGGCTGACTTGCTTTAAATCCACATCCTCCAGTTGGAGGTCTACGTGTATGGACAAGTGTCTTTTCTGTGACTGTACATAAATTTAATGATGACACATAGATGCAGTGGTCCTCACATAGAACACGGCAGTGTATCTATAAGAGAGAAAGCTTTCAGCTTACTATGCTAAAGTTTTAACTGATCTGCACCTTACAGTATGTTAAAGTCCCTGCCAAAACTTGCAGTTCCAGGGTGAGCAGGACTGAGGCCTGTAGAAGGATGCATTCTGGCTTTGCCAGGAAGCAGAGAACTTTAAATAAATTAATAATTTAGCAGGCTATTGAGTGTAAAATGCATCCAGTTTGAGCTGAAACTCCCACCACCCTGGAGTACCTATTCAGAGACAAGTGTGCTGACTAATCTGCTTCTCAAAGAGAAAATGAGATATCCGGAACACAAAAATCACCAATTCTAAAGGGCCTGATGCAAACATACTTGAAGTATAACCAGAAAGGATTTCTATCCACAGTGAGGACTAACTGAAAGCACTACACCTCCTGCAATAAGTGGTCCTGTGCCACTTCAGGCAATTTTTTTTCAGGCTCCTTTCTCTAATTCAGAAATGATAGACCTGTATCTATAGCCAAGAGCTTTGGGCCAACTGGTCTGGACACAGAATAGCCTTACCTGTAACGAGAGGCAACCAAAAATTACTGTGGGTGCTGAGGGGCACCTGCGGCTTCTACCTTGCTAGCATAAACATTTCCCCAACCAGAAGCGACTTCCCAGAGAGCTGGGTGTCCACCCAGTATTTCTGATGTCATGTCTTCCCACACCCATTTGACTTCAAGGTATGGGCACCCTTTCTTCTTCTTGTACGTTTGGAGATTTCTTCACTGTGGAGGGAGTTGTGGGAAGGAGAAGGAATGAAGAGGCCGAAAGAGACACTGAGTGCCATCACACATGGGAAGAAAAGGATTAAGCATAAAATCACAGAACAGTTTGGGTTGGAAGGGACCTTGAATATAACCTAGTTTCAACTAGACCAGATTGCTCCAAGCCCCATCCAACCTGGCCTTGAACACAGCCAGGGATGGGGCAGCCGCAGTTGTCTGGGCAACCTGTGCCAGTGCCTCACCACCCTCGCAGGGAAGGATTCCTTCCTAATGTCTGATCTAAATCTCCCCTCTTTCAGTTTAAAGCCATTCCCCCTTCTCCTGTCACTACATGCTGTTGTAAAAAGCCCCTCTCCAGATTTCATGTAGGCCCCTTTAGGTACTGGAAAGGCTGCAATAAGGTCTCCTCAGAGCCTTCTCTTCTTCAGGCTGAACAAGCCCAGCTCTCTCAGCCTATCTTCACAAGGGACGTGTTCCAGCCCTCTGGCCATCTCCATGGCCTTCCTCACTTGAGCAGGTCCACATCTCTCTTGTGTTGTGGGCCTCAGAGCTGAACACAGTACTGCAGGTGCAGTCTCTAAAGAGCAGAGTAGAGGGGCAGGATCATCTCCAACCTGCTGGTCATGCTTCTTCTGATGCAGCCCAGGACATGATTGGCTTTCTGGGCTGTGAGCACACATTGAAGCTGGCTCATGTTCAGTTTCTCTTTAACCAACAGCCCCAAGTCCTTCTCCGCAGGGCTGCTCTGAATCTCTTCTCTGCCCAACCTGTAGCTGTGCCTGGGATTTCTCCAACGCAGGTGCAGGACCTTGCACTTGGCATGGTTAAACTTCATGAGGTTGGCATCAGCCCACCTCACAAGCGTGTCAAGGTCCCTCTGGATGGCATTCCTTCCCTCCAGGGTATCAACCGAACCACACAGCTTGGTGTCATTGGCAAACTTGCTGAGGGCGCACTCAATCCCACTGTCCATGTCAGCGACGAAGGTGTTAAACAAAACCGGTCCCAACACCATTGACAGTTTGCACTGGACGTTGAGCTGTTCACAATTAACAATTTTCAGACCCGGCTGTTACAGATCCTAACCACCACACACTCCATTCGGCCGTTGCGCACCGCGCGGCACATGGCTGGCCGCCAGGGGGCGCAGAGCCACAACCTGCGGTGGGGCTGTTGAAGCCCCTCAGCGGTGGGGACCGGCTGAGCTCGGGCGTTCCTGTGGGGAAGCTGGCAGAGGTTCCCCAATCCTCTCGTCAGCACCTAAGGGCACGGGGGTATCGTTTTGAGTTACGGTGGGCTTTCTCTCGTTAACGTTCTTGTCTGGATCCATATTTACTACGGGTATAAAGCTAAGGCAATAGTTCAGTGCATAGCCAGAACA